TTGAACGAAGTGACAGAGATGACGGAAACAATGGAGGCGGGGTCGCAACAATGATTAAAGATGGTATTACCTACCACTGATTCCATGATGGAGTAGTTGCCAACCCCGACTCCACAACGGAATTCGTAGGCACACTCTTGTACTTGTCCGGCAGAACCCTTAAAGTCGTCAACCTGTACATCCCGCCACGCCACAAAGGTAACTTCGTTCCTCACGTACTCAAGACTGATGCAAACACCATCATCGTAGGCGATTTCAACTGCCATCACCCTTCGTGGGACCCTTACGTCGACCAGTGCGCCACCGGAACAGAAATTGATGACTGGGCCCTCGACAATGATATGATTGCCCTCAATGACGGCTGCGAAACAAGAATCGACCCGAGCAGTATGCTCAAATCAGTCCCTGATATTTCCTTCTGTCATGTTTCACAGGTTGCTTACGTCTCTTGGAAAACCAGTGACACCCTGGTCTCTGACCACAAAGCCATCGAAATCAAACTCTGTAGACACTCTGCCCCCACCCGTAGGAGCAAAGCCAAATGGTCCTTCAAGAAGGCTGACTGGTCGTTGTTCAATGCCCACATGGAAACAGAGACTTTGGCAAATGACATGCCTAACATGACGGACGTCACAAAATTAAACACGTGCCTAACTGAGGCCATTTTAAAAGCAGCCAAACAAAGTATCCCTAAGGGCGCTCGTAAACTTCCTAAACCCTTCTGGAATGAAGAAGCGGACAAACTGATAGAAGAAAAAGTGCAATTACGGAAAAAAGTCATGGCAACCAAAACACGAGAAGACATTGAAAACTACCAGGAGGCGTCTAAAAGAACCACATCCCGCCTAAACGAGATGAAGCGCGACTGTTGGCGCAACTTTACCTCAGAGATGTCCCTCTCGACTGACCCTCAACAAGTCTTCCGAGTCATAAATGCCATCTCAGGCAAGAAAACCCCCTCCACCGGCAGTGCACTCACAGAAAACAATAAAACCCTAAAAGGAGATAGAAGCAAGGCAGAAGCCTTTTGCCGTGAATACGCCTCAGTCAGCCGCCTAAAACTCGACAAGGCAGACAAACACCGGCACTACCAGCTTAATGAAAAGCTTAAACTCCTCCCTATTGACCAGAACACAGGCTATGATTCTCTCCTCACCATGGCTGAACTGACAGTTTGTATAGGAAAGCTGAAAAACGGCAAATCTCCCGGGCTTGATGGTGTAACCAATGAGATGATCAAACACCTCGGACCCATCGCAACCTCTGCCCTGCTCCGTCTTTTCAACCTATCATGGGAAATGGCCATTGTCCCAAACAGCTGGCGACGTGCTAAAATCATGCCAATACCCAAGAAGAATAAGCCTGCAGGAAAGATTGGGTCCTACCGCCTCATCAGTCTCACCAGCGACCCTCGTCAAGAACCGCCTGATGTACTTTCTGGAGAGCAACAACTTGCTGAGCAACAACCAATCGGGCTTCCGCAAGTTACGGTCTACTGAAGACCAAGTCCTTTTCCTAACACAACATATCTCCGATGGATTCCAGGCTCGTCCCAGAATGAAACGAACTGTGCTGGCCCTCGTGGACTTCTCGTGTGCCTTCGACAAGGTATGGCGCACGAGATTAATGGAGAAGATGATTGAGAAATCTACTCCCAGCCGCATCACCCAATGGATAGGTTCGTTCCTCAGAGACAGATACGCCTGCGTCGAGCACGGCAACGCAACAAGCAGGCTTCGCCGTTTCGAGCAGGGAGTCCCCCAGGGAAGTGTCCTGTCCCCCACACTGTTCCTTGTCTTCATCGATGATATTGAAGCAGGCCTGCCTGAAGCCGTGAAGACGGGACTCTATGCTGATGACTATACAATATACGCCACCAACGAAGACATAAATCAGGCTGAAAACAGTGTCCAAGCAGCCATAAACTTACTTGAGCAGTGGGCAAAGCAAAACAAGATGGAGATCAGTACGGAGAAAACAGAGTGCACCCTCTTCACCACCAGCACCCACGAGGCCAAGCGAAAACCAACACTCTCACTCAAAGGCGCCCCCATCACCTTCAACTCCAACCCCACCTTACTTGGGATTACACTTGATCGTACTCTATCCTCCAACGCCCACATCCAAAACCTTGAGCTAAAACTGTCAAGCAGACTTCGACCATTGAAAGCCCTTACAGGCACCACCTGGGGTGTCTCCAGGGAATGCATAAAGCCTATATATTATGCTACTTGTCGGTCAGCTATCGACTATTGTGCCCTTACCTACATGCCTCTTGCCAAACCCTCCAATCTGCAGAAACTGGAAAGAAAGCAGAATGAAGCAGCAAGAATCATCACAGGCTGCTCAAAGGATACTCGTGTGGACAGCCTCCTCATCGAAGCAGACATTTTACCACTAAGGCATAGCGCTGATGCCTTGACTGCCATCTCATTCGAGAAGTCCTTGCGTCTGCCTGTAACGAACCAACGCAAAGCCTCCGCAACAAAATCAGTGCCCACGCGGACTGGAGAAAGCATGCCCAGAGCATCGTAGCCGAAACTGAACTGGATACGTACCCACGTGAGGAGCTGGTTGTTTTACCCCCCCACACAACCGTGGAAGGCTGCATCATACAACGTGACTTTTAGCACCGATCTTGTCGTCGACTGCAAGCGTGCTAATGAACCAGCTGTCAGGAAAGCAACAGCAGAGGCTACAATTCGTTCGCTCCCCCTGCCTGATGTAGAAGTCTGGACTGACGGTTCAGCTAAGCACGGTACTGAGTATGGAGGAAGTGGAATACTGATCAAGACCGATGATACCGAACTCGACCAACGTGTACCTGCCGGCCGGTATTGTTCCAGCTACAGGGCCGAGCTTGTGGCTCTCGACACAGCGCTTGACATGCTTGTGGCACTACATACAGCAGGCAGCCTTCCGAACAGTGTACGCATCCATGTATACACTGATTCTAGATCAGCAGTCATGCACCTCTCATACGGCCCTACCAACCAATCGGAAAAGGTGGCCTGCTCAATCTGGCAACATCTGCACACCCTCTGTCAACGCTCTGAATGTTCCATCCACTTACAGTGGATTCCAGGCCACGCTGGACTGGCTGGGAACGAGGAAGTTGACAGCATCGCCAAAGAAGTAACAGCGCTTGCCCAGATTGGCACGCCAATCGATTTCTCGACAGCTAAAGCCGTCATCCACCGATCGATCCGCGCAAAGTGGAAAAGAGAGGCGAAATCCAAACTGCCGTTTGCCCAGCCGCCGTCATACCAGCTTGAGGCCTCGCTCAGACGACAGGACCGCCGGCTTCTATCCCAAATGAGAACTGGTGGAAAATCGCCCAAGCTGAGATCATATCTCCACAAAATTGCGCCAGCAGACAACCCAGATCCGTCCTGTCGAGCCTGCAAGGGGGAGGACGAAACTATGGACCATGTGTTCCTGAGATTTCCCGCCAGCTATCGTGCTAGAACCCGTCTGCTGGGACATTTCAGTAACCCACTTTCAGCCCTTTTTAAGGACCCCCGGGCGAGTGTTGAGTTCCTGCGTGCTGTCGGCATCGCTGACTGTTTATGAAGCCACAGCGCCAGAAGAGAGAGAGAGAGAGAATGTCAAAGCTGTAGCATCATTTTTTCAATTGAAATAGGAAAGTGTTTTGTAAGGTATATGAAGAAACCTCCACCTATTGTTTGTTTTTGTTTTAGTAGAGCTTTTACAGCGCTCGCAACTGCATAATGTCATATGAGTGCCAAGGGGTGGATGTCAACAGAGAAGTCCTTACAGGGAATCAGACTTACTCTGCTCACCTCTCTAGCTTCAACAGCACAAAGTCTGCTTCGACTATCAAGGCAAACATACAAAAGAAGTACAGGAAAATGACAATAGTAAGGATCAGGAAAGAAAAAGCAGCAGTTCCCTGTTGTACTTCAGGCACAATTAAGAGCATGACAATGTTGGATCAGCCCATTTACAATTCTACTGTGTATTAGAACGAGAAATGTCCTCCCTTTTTGGGAATGGCCTAAAGACACTTCAGTCAGTGGCACAGCTCTGGGGGGTACCCCACCTATTGGATTTCTATTAAGGAAAATCTCACATCAAGAATAAATTGAGACAAAACAGGACAAATAACAATACCGTACTTTGACAGTGTACAACCTTTTGCCAAACACTCTGATCACCGTTGACAGGCATTCTGAAAGACAGGAGTATTTATGGAAAAGACCTGACAAAAGTGGTACGCCTTATAATATGCAAAAAATTATCAGTATTGTCTGCCAGCAAATTTCCCAAAGTGCATAGAGATAGAGCGATATCCTCAAAATTACGTGTGTGATAAAAATAATATTTCAAAAGAAATTAAGAAACCGTGATTAGTTATAAAACTGGTAGTAAATGGTTAACATCCAAATTGATACAATTAAGATCACTAATACTGAGTGGACACGACCAATCAAATTTATTTGAATCAGTTGGGGCCAATCAGATTTTCCTTTATGGACGAGACAAAAGCTGCCAATTTGGCACAATTCAACAGCATTCAACTAACTTAAAGACTGTAAGTCAAATTGGTTGCACTGTGCCAAAATGGTAGCTACTGCATGCTGCTCCGTGAAGGAAAATTTGGCAGGCGTTGACTGAATTAAATAAATTCAATTGGTAGTGTGCACTCAGCCTTAGGACCCTGCCTGTGAAATACAACCTCCTTGTACACAGACAGACATACACATATATGTACTTGACAAAAAAAATTGCGATGCATCTTTGTGAAATCAGGCGCCTAAATTGTCAAAATGATGAAATTGAAGAAACCGGCATTTTTCTGGCCGTAGGGGTCTTTTTCTGGCTCAACACCTTTTTTATGTCTATATAAAAACACATTACTGTGAGGATTTTACTGAAAAACATTGATTAAAGGCACAAAAAAAGTAAATTTTCGGTTTCCAATGACTCTCAAGCTATGGAAAAATCAAAATTTGCTGGCCATTTTCTCATTAGTTTTACCTCTGAAACTAGGCCACCCTCCCATCTTTCAGTCACAAATATCTCGACTTCTATTCAACATAGATAGTTATTTTTTCTCACCAAAAACAAGGCACATGGACAGGCTTTAAGATGATACCAATAACCCCATTTGCTCAAAAATTGACGAGCGCCTGATTTCATCATGTCGAGCCACAATTGCTTTTTGCCAATCTTCGGTGTGCAACAGCAAAGAGACTATTACAGGATAACCCTGGTGAACTACAAAAACCAATAAACTACATGTATTAACATTTTTAAAGATAAAAGACTATGAAGCCCTTCAAATGATAAGAGTGATAAAATGTAAACTTTCACAGTCATACACGTCTTAGGGCAAACGGTGAATAAAAAGAGTTAATAATTAAAGAAAACAAACAACTTTACATGTCATGAAACCTACAGATCAAGAAAGCAGGAAATTACACAATTAAAGAATACAAAAATTTACAAAACATGATGTTCATGTAGACACACAAGCTCTATGTATTACATTATAGGGCTGCTTTCATCAAATTGATTTCATGTCACCTCAAGTTTTCTGACAGCATACGGTCTTGATGGTTAATAGTAATAATGTCGTTCAATATTGTTCTAGCATAATATTGCTGATGACACACAAGAAAACAGCAGGAAAAGAATAATTGATACTGCTTTTAGCCACTCTAACACTATTAAGACTTGTTAGAGGCAATAAGTTGCTTTGATATGAATATATATATATGCTTCTCAGAGCCAATCTGGCCAGAGTGGGATACAACATCCAAAGAAGGAGAAAGCAGCTATCTAACAAAGAGAAATCATTCATATACATGTATATACAATTACAAAGTACTTTAATTCAGAATGCCTTATCAATATTTTGATAAGAAATTCGTTCATGGCTACGATATCATTGCAAATAGGTTCCCAGGAATGGTCCATACCGATCTCTCATCCAATCGCAATACTCTTGCCATTCCATCAAATGCCATGGTTGACAAGTCAAAAAAGTCATTGCAGCTTCAAAACTTTCTTTACATACACAATTCTCCTGAATTCTTGTCTTTTGTTGTTGACTTAATTGTGTGTATTCATCCAAATCAAGAGTGCAGTTAAAACTGACCATGTCTTCCCTCACTGGAAGGTTGATGAGATTTTCTCTTAGGGTCACCATCAGGAGCAAAGTGCCGGTAGATATTGGCACACGCAGAGACAAAGTGCGCAGGTGAGGGAACGATTTTACAAGGCTCATTAACAGCTGTGGATCAAATGTAGAAACTAGAAGTGAAATCTTAGATAAATGTAGGATAAACAGTACAGCACAACAACTAGTTTAGGTTAGATCTTATTTAACAGCTAGACCAGGATGAGTTCCTAGTTGGGTGGGGGTCATAGTGGTATTGATTTGGGATGTGGGGAGGGTGGGTCCGCATCCCATAATATTCGTGATGGAAAGTGAGAATGTATAATTACCTGAGTAAAGACTAGGGAGTAACTAGGGAGTGCTTATTTAGGCCTCATAAGGCCTATATACTGTGAAGGCCCTCAGGTAACCTTATTTAGGCTACATATATGGCCTATATACCGTGAAGGCCCCCGGGTAACCTCATTTAGGTCAAATATGGCCTTTATACCGTGAAGGCACTGGGTAACCTTATTTAGGCCATAGTTCAAACTACCTTTTTCACACGACTGAGTTCGTTCCGCTTTCGCAACATAGCATCTTTCTCATAATTTTGTACAGTTTTGTCTCAAGTGCATTACTTTATAAACCATAATATATAATGAAAATAGTAAGAACAACGCACAATATAAAACATTTTGCTCAATCCCAATGGTTTGAATGAGGGCCAGATTTTTTTCCTTTAAGGGGGAGCAAAAGCCAGGGACTGTAACAGCAGCTCCACATCTTTCTACTCTGATGTACATGTAGTAGAAGTAGTCATAATGAAGGAGTTTCGCTTTACATTCAGTCTGGTGAGGATGTCTCTTCTTGATGTTGTCCACTGATATGAGAGACGCAAGTATGCTGCATTGCTGGTCTTTGCTACTGAGACCTAATCATTGACCGAGACTATTGAAATGGGCTATAAATAAATAAAGCGTTTTTTTCCTCATTAGAAGTCACCTTAAAACAGTTTAGTTCTTTCAATGGCAAACCAATCACGTGCACTGACATTCTTTGTACTTCAGTTACTTTTTGTTTTCTTTCGAATTTAAAAAGTTCTAGTATCTTTTGCTATTATTGTTTTGAAATTTGCGTAAACAAAGCAGCATCACATCAAAACGACTACTAATTGCTTGTCAGGGCAGATAGGGGGAAATAAGTCTCCACTCCGCGCTGACATATATCTTGTTTGCCCCTTGTACTCATTGGACATTGTTGGTTCCCCCCTTGTGTCCACTTTTTTATCATGAACATTGAGACGGACTGTGAAGGTTTTCAGATTTTTCCACAAGGTGAAAACATGGGGCTCAAATATATATATGTGTGTATGTGTGTTTGTGTTTGTGTGTGTGTGTGTGTGTGTGTGTGTGTGTGTGTGTGTGTTTGTGTGTGTGTGTGTATGTGTGTGTGTGTGTGTGCGTGTGTGTGTGTGTGTGTGTGTGTGTGTGTGTGTGTGTGTGTGTGTGTGTGAGAGAGAGAGAGAGAGAGAGAGAGAGAGAGAGAGAGAGAGAGAGAGAGAGAGAGAGAGAGAGAGAGAGAGAGAGAGAGAGAGAGAGAGAGAGAGAGGCAGCACTGTGGTGAAATCAGGCACTGAACAACATCAATTAAAGGCACAAAAAATTTTCATTTTCATTTTCCAGAGAGGACATTCAAGCTATGGAAATAACCAAACTTTGGTAGCAATCCTCTTGCTAATTTTACCTCTGAAACGAAGGCAACCCCACTCCTATACGTATATTTTATGTTTGTGTGTCTGTGTGTACGTGTGCTTGTGTGTTAGGGTCTAATGCCAATTAAAGCCAAAATGGTTATGTTAGAGACAATACCTGGAAATAATGCCCATCACAGTGGAGGTGGCTAGAGAAGGGCTCACAGTTATCTAGGCGCTCATTGGACCTTTGTTAGGTGCTTTCAACTTTCCTCTACCACCACCCCATCACACGGCCTAATCCAGCTCATTGAGAGAATATGTTTGAAGTGCTCTGTGTGCATGTTTGTGTTTGTGCCGCTGAGACAACAGTTATAAATAAATCAAGTCTTAATCAATCACTTTTAAGGTAACTTTTTTTTCAGATGAAAATCAATTAAAGGAAATTTGGATGTGAAACGGTTTCATCCCCACTATCCAGAATAATTTGACTTACACTTACAACAAAGGGATGGAGGACAAAGGTAGCTTTTCTCGTTTGAATGGTTCTCAAAATGCTGTGGCTCACCGTGAGTATAGAAAAATCATCACGATTAGATCTTATTGCTTGCTATTTGGTGGTAAAGAAGTGGAAGAGGCAACCTAACCTCCACCCAAAATTGTGTCCACCCTCCCCCATTGGACCATCACCAAACATTGTTCATTATTCATTGTTTCAGGAAGCAACATCCTGCATTCCGGACTCGTCCATTGATGCTCCGTTGCTCTCTCTAAAATGTTGCTAAGGGTCTTTCTACTGATTGTGCCAGTGCATATCTCGCTGGACGTTCTTCTGTTCTTTCCTGCAGGGGTTCCCGGTTCTCCTCTTCCCTTCTGTACTCCCATCATCACCAAACAAACAGAGTCAAGGGGATAAAGAGATATCAAACACACAAAAATATTTAAAGAAAGCTCAATGGAGACTTATGAAACAATGTCTTCTTTGCCCAGAAAAGCTGAAGAGGTGTACTAAAACTTCATGAGAGCAGTCAATGGTCTTAATACTGAGACATTAAACTAGGTTACCAAGCCCAGGCATGAACGAAGTTGGCTATCTGACAAACAGGGGTACAACTCCAAAGCCTGAGGGGCATTTTTATTTTTCAACACTGACTATGGTTTCTGACACACTATCTTTCAAGATGATAAGTTTCTGCAGTGTAATGGTTAAGGTCCTTGCTTGTGCACACAGGATACCTGAGCTTTATGCCCCGCCTACTGGAATTTGAAATCCCACTCTGCCTGTCAATGTCAAAGCAGTTCCCCCATCTAAAAGATCTAAATTGAGTTCATGGGGCAGCAAACATTTACAATCATTTGCAACCATTCACTATCTTTCTATGAAATCTGTTGTTTGAGCGCTCTTTAAATCCATCAGCAATGGTGTAGCAAGCACTCAATACTGATTTGTTACCCGCAAGCACAGGGGGTGTGCTTAACAAACGAGCGGACCGCTTTGCGAGCTGCGGGTTAAATAATTCACTAATATCGTTTCTTAAAGGCCCAAGATGTACCGCTGATCACACTGAATTCAGCACATCAGGTGCTGATGGGGCCACAATTCATAGATAAGAAGAGGCCGTGTGATGGGCTAGGCCCAATGATGTGCTATCTGCATCATAGTGTTGGAGCAAGAGCTTGATAGGCTTGATTCATTACCGAATCGAGAAACGAACAAACGGGTTGCCAACATCGGAAGCCATGGTGGCAGAGTCAACATTTGCTCACAACATGCATTGTTTCTGGAAGATCAATGAGTAAGCTGCTGGCTGGACTGCATCATGACATTGTGACATTAAGAACGAGCCGAGCCGAACCTGCTTGTTCGTTCATGTCGTCCCAAACAAGCAGTGTCTCAAGCAGTGAATAATGAATCTTTGCAGTTTACCAACCAACTTTTGCAGGCCCCAGTCCAATACAGCAAGTGTTTCATTAATCCGCTCATTATTTTCGCGCACTAGAAACGAGTGCTCGTTTATTCACAAATAACAATTTTTGCGGAAAAAACTCAAGGCTACTGCATAGTGAAGGACCCACCACAGAAATTAGCAATTTGGGTCAAGAGAGGTGTCTTTTAAACTAAAACTAAAATCCCCACAGACACAAACCTCAGTAGCGTCTGAAAACACTCCTGGGAATCCAGATATTCTCACCTCATCCCCAGAGTCAGTCCAGCCCCCGTCTTTTGAGAGGGAAAAATCCACAAGCTCCTCCAGTGTGGAAGAAAATGGACCAAGTAGCTTCAGCAAAGCCGTGTACGGAAGCCAAGAGTTATTGTTGTAGACTACAGAGCAGAGGGGCATTCCAGGGCTCACCAAAAACTTTCTAGAGGGTGCAAGAAACCTGGCAAGGAGGTAATAGTGAAAGAAAATATTTTTATATGGGTCATAACATATTGCAAAGGTTGCCATTGACATTATGTATGATCAAGTGGATTGCAAAGTGGCCAATTCTGAAAGGCTCAGTCTACACTATTCAAACATTTTCTGAACCATGATGTATTGTCAAAGAGATTAAACGTTTACATTTCAAGGACACAACTCAATACATTTTTTTAAGGTATTCTAAATTGTTAAATTGGTATAAGGAGAATAACAGTTAACTGAAGAACAAGTGTATTCTAATCTTGAAATATATTTATACAACTAGAAAGATGAAGCAAATAGCAACGTTTAAAATATCTCGTAATCATCTGAAAACTGTTAAAAAGAAATGAAGAGTAACACAAACAAAAATGAAAAGTGCACCTAACATTAAATAAGACAACTGAATACAAAAGTACTACCACGCTTTCCAGACAGAATTAATTTTTAAGCATAGACTTCAAAAGACCCAGTATCAAATTCCAAACAGAAACATGAAGAAAAGAAATTTCTTTTCTATCACTCACGACATTTTCTTCATTATGAAGTATCCCACTCTGAAGTCTTTCTGAGATGCTATTTCCTCCCATTTGAATTCACTCAGTGTTTCCGAATGTCCTAGCACATTGGATCTGTCCACGAGGTTCAGCCTCTGGAATGAAAACAATATCCTCTGACTTAGCATATTTTGAGAATGTGATAAAGGATGGCATGCGCTAAAAGTTATCGTCCCCATTATATCATTCAAAGTCATCATTGCTCTCGGCATCAGCTCCTGGACATGCATCTATCTTCTATGCTGAACAGTTTTGTTGCCATCGATGTCACTGTCAGTAAGCCCTCAGATGCCTATAAAGTCAAGACTGGGATTGTTCATAATGTATTAGTATTATCAACAAACTCATTGCGGACTTAACTTATAATACTGTAATACAATGCACAGTAATTTAACATGTCTACTGGAAAAGCCAAGAATCTCGAACATGTCCATCTGGAAAGAAAAACTTGATCACAAGATTAATGATCATAAATCAGCATGTTACAATAATATAAATTATAATGTATATTCAACGTACAAGTACGTGCATCATGTGCATCTTTTTATATTAATCAGAAGGTGTCGTTTTGATAGAAATGGGCAAGGGATAACAAAAAAAAGCAAAAAAGTGTGCATGCGCACATGTTTGGGAGGGTTGTTTGGGGTGCATTTGAGAACAAAGTAAGGGGCCTTGGGCTTTTCAAATGAATTTCTACGACGCTATGAAACAAAACCAAACGCAACTCTGCAGAAGTAAAGACACTGAAGGAGGGATTTTTTGCTAGAACACTTTGACCACACTAGGAGACACCACCATATTTGTCACATTGTTGCCTTTGTTTTTATTATGATGCTGTTGTTGCTACTGCTGCTGCTGCTGATGATGATGACGAAAATTATGATTATAGATAACGACAGTGATGATGACTATGATGATGATGGCCAGCAGATGGTAGTGATTACGGTGAGCAAAAGGATAGTAATGAATGAGAAATGGGAAGTGACAATTAGTATAGAGGTGATTGTCTTATACAGGTAGCCATTAGAGCAGGTTTATCTCTCTCTCTCTCTCTCTCTCTATATATATATATATATATATATATATATATATATATGTGTGTGTGTGACGGTGCAGTGAAATCAGGCGCTTGTCAGTTTTTGGGGATGTGGAGATATTGGTATTGTCTTAAAGCTTGTTCATTGAAAAAAAAAAGCCCACCATAAAGAAGTTGAGATCATAATTGTGATCGAAGGATGTGGAGGTCGCCTGGCTTCAGAGGTAACGGTAACAAGAAAATGGCCGCCAAAGTTTGGTGACTTCCATAGCTTGAGAGTCCTTGGAAACTGAAAATTTACCATGGCATAAATTCGATAAAATCTGCAAACCTGGTGGAAAGTGCCGATTTCTTCAATTTCATTACAGTGGAATCCTGTTATAACGAAAGGGAGGGGACTGATGCAAAATGTCGTTATAGAAGGATTCTCGCTATAAGGGATCCAGTAATAAATTCAAGGGAAATAATAAAGTAGTCCTAATCTATGAGTTTGGTGTTCTGTTTTTTTTTCTTTTTGTTATCTCCCCTGACGATTATTTTTTTTCAGCAAGACCTCTAGGTCTTACTTGATCAAAAATCAATTCAGGTTTCTTCCTCTAGCGCTATCGATGTTGACAGCTCGGTGTTGGTGATCAGAAAGAAGGGGCTCTAGGCTCATTTGTCCGCTGTGTTGTCCCCCACCCCACCATGTGGAGCATTCTGTCTGCTTACGCACGTCACACATTCACTCCACCCATCACATTGCTGTGACCTCTCCATCCCCGCATTGGAGAAGTGAGAGACATGATGGTAGGCCCAGATAATCTAGACTTGGCACAGGCTGGCCTATCAGTATCATGCGATGCGTTCTGCTTGTCTGCGCATGCCACACCCTCCCTACTCAGTTGCTCCAGCCTTCATTGTTGACACACATGGGTTCTCCCATTCTTTGTTTCGCTAGATCACCAAAAAGTTTCTCAACTGGCGAGGTTTTACATTATGTATAATAGGCCAATGCACTGTGCACAGCAGCATCAATATTCAGCTATAACCGACATGAATGTCTGTCTGATTGCGCCTATAGCAGTATCTTATTTACAAAGATAAAGAAGAGAAAAAAAAACGGGGTTTTAGAATAGTGTCTTTATAACAGACTTCTCGTTATTTCAGGACTCGTTATAAGTGGACTCCACTGTATTTTGAGGAGCAACTGATTTCACCATGATGCCCATGTATATTTTTCGTTTCAAGCCTACCAAAGAGGGTATGATAAAAGTTATACCCAGATTTAACAGTACCTTTAGAGAATGCTTCGACAGGTGTTTAATGAGCGAGTAGTGCAGGAAATTTGGGGACATCGTCAACTCAGTCAAGTTGACCAGATACATGAGGGAGCTGGGAGAAAACGTTACCATCGAGTTGATGAGACGCAATTTCCTCAGTGTCTTAGCATGACGAGGACCTTCAAAAGAAAGGGAGACCATTACAAACATTTCGTCCAGAACAAAGCAGTTTCTAAAAGAATAATTTGACAGTCATGACTTTCATTTACTCACTTTCTATGTACCGTAATGCATTCATGAAAGCAGATTCATAAACAGAAAACTAATATTTCCTTCTTTCGTGAGCTTCTAAATCGGGATACTACTGCACAATTCTCAAGTACATTTATTTTTATTGAGTTTTTCTCACCAAAACAAAAGCACACTCATTTCATTGATAAAAGTAAACAAATATAAATTACAAAGACTAAAAAACTGCGATCCCAATCTAAAAAAGAAAAACCTTTGAAAACAGTATGTATCTTACGTACAGTAAAACACGAGTAACTTGATTTCGTCGGGGCTTGAAAATAGTGTTCGAGATTTCCGTAATTCATCAAGTCCTAGAAATCCCCAAATACATATGTACAAGGAAATATTGAAAATCAAGGGAGGTAAAAAAAAAAGAATATTAAAACAATTATTAATTAATGTGGTTAGCTCCCTTGATTAACTTGTTGACAGTGAAAGCAAGAAGAGGAACGAGAATGAAAGTCGAAAGCAGAAAATCTCACGTGTGCACAGCCGACTCCTACGTCATTGTCTCATTTCATTGGCTTACAGAAAGTTACGCCTCTTTCCATCCGCACCACGCGCGTCCCACAGCATGACTGCATGCGTAGCTAGCCAGTCATGTGGAGTGGTCAGCATCATTCCCAAGCCCCCCTTCCCCGTCCCCTTTCCTCCAGCCCCTCGTGGTGAGACAAGGACCACGTTTTGGCTGTAACAATAACAAAGAAACATCTACCCGCGGCCAAAGTCTGTAAAGCCAGGTCTTTAGTTGAGCTGTCCCCGTGGTTTTATGCACCGCGCATAATTTAGCAAAATATGATTATTTTTTGAATAATTTCTGATTATTTTCCTTCATCATTCTTTGTTAAAATTAACAGTATTATATAATTTCACATTTTTGGGCTCAGTTTGAATAATTTCAGAATTTTTCTTTCATAAAACGAAGGGGACAGGTTGAGAATGGGAAGTGGATTTGTTCGAGATTCGAGTGTTGCATGTTCTGAGAGTTCGGGAATACCATGAAGTCAATACACGTAAAAAAAGAAAACGTAGGGACAGAAATGGGACCAAGCACTATGTTCGAGATACCAGAGAATTCATGATTTTCGTGTTCGATATTCGTGGACTCTGCTGTATATTCTTTCAAGTTTGTTCGGCTTAAAAGATGGACATGCAATGGGTTTTAATATTGTATTTAAAACAAGAGTGAAGAGACAGTTTTAAAAAAAACCTCTTGTCTTTGTCTTCTTGTTCATCTTTAAATGGACATTCCAATCTCTAGTGGCATGGCTGCTGTTTGCTGCAGGTTATTCTGGCTCCTATAGTCCTATAGAGTGTTGGAGCTCCCTGTCTAGAGTAGGGCCAATGTTTCCTTCTGAGTGCTTCACGTGAAAATAGCCACAGAATTAACAATTTCATTTTGATTAAAATACAACTTTCACATATGTGAGGCAGCATGGTGGAATCAGGCTCTCGTCAATTTTTGGGCTCGTAGAGTTATTGGTATCATCTTAAAGCGTGTTGACTTGTCTTTATTTGGATGAAAAAAATATACATTTATTTTGAATACAAGTCGAGATATTTGGGAAAGAAAGAGGTGGGGGTCACTTGTTTTCAGAGGTAAAATTAGCGAGAAAATGGCCGCCAAAGATTTGTTACTTCCTTTGCGTCCGTGGTAACTGAAAATTTACAATTTTTGTGCCTTTCATCAACGTTTTTCAGAAAAATCCAAACAGCAATTGAGTTCTTTAATGGGAATAAAAGGTGTTGAGCCAAAAAATAAAAATTTGATAAAAATTCACAAACCTGCTGAAAAATGCAAGTCTCTTCACTTTAATTATTTTGACGAGAGCCTGTTTCCACCACGCTGCCTCACATATGTTTACCCAAAGATGCATTAGAGAATGGATGCCTCTCTTGAAGAAAACCTCGTCAAATTTTACGATCAAGTTTTGACTTTGTAGATTAAACATTCATCTTCGTTATCCCCCCCCCCCCTCAGTCAGTGTCTTTTTTTTGGGGGGGGGGGAGGGGGGTCCAATAAGATGGCAGTCAGAAGCGGCCAGATCAAGACTATGTAGAGAATATGGTAAAACCTCTCAACCATACTTCTTCATGTTTGTATTATATATATACAGGGTTATGTTGTCAAGCTGCAGATTTGACACCTTTGCTCAATCATCTTGGTACATGTATCTTCCCACACATTGTTATCTCGGTTTGTTGAGTGTTTCACAACAGTAGGCAACACTGACAGTTTCACTTCATGGTAGAAAGTCTACTACTAGAACTTTATTATCCCAGATTATTATATTATACTTTTGTAATCAATTTTTCCCAGAAGACTGCACTTTGAACGTTTTGGCTGGAGGTGATGATGAATGTTTCCACATTACTGAGTCCCTCCTTGTTCCTGGTGTTACGTGAAGAATCATCATTAAAGTCACCATCTGGCCCAACAGCGGTGAAACCACCACCCATGCATCATTTCAGATTTGTCTTGGATGCCTGTACAAGTGTCACTCTGTGCTTTTCTGTCAGTTGTTTAGGGACCTATCAAGCAGATAGGCTACATTGCGAAATCCTTGCTGGGTATTTTGAACAGCAGTTAATGGGAATTCAAGTGACAGGGCAATATCATGCTCTTTGATACGCCTACCCTCAAAGAAGCGTATCAATCAGCATTATGCTGTTTTGTGAGGTTTAAATTTTTGGCTATCCTGATTTCAGTTTGACCTCCAAATTTGTATACCCTTCTATTATATAAAACTAACTGCATCAGTGGTATACCTTGGGGG